CAAATGACTTCAGGTTTATTGCATGCTAATGCTGTCTACAAAAGTCTGAACTACTAATGGTCAAGATAAATTGGTTGTATATAAGAGTCAGTGGAACTGAAGGTGGACTGGGCTTAGACTTCTTGTGGGTGTGAAGAGACTTGAGACTAATGATGTGCTTGACCCTTCCCTTAGGCTCAGCCTGGTCATCTCCTACAATTAGGTCCATACTGAACTGGAATATCAAAGTCATAGGAGAAAGTTGATGCAACATGAACTAACAGAATGCAACTGGATTGGGGCAGGACTGTAAACCTTATTCAAGTCCCATGTGCTGACATACACATTCCACACTCGTATCCTGCTGCTTCTTCCTGGCGGGGTAGAGGGGTATGCCAAACCAGTAGTTTGTCCTCTGGAGATTCTGACATATTCAGCCATTCAAACCTCTGCCATAGTGGAAAGTGAAGAAGATAATGAAAGAGTCACATCCCTCCACTGTCACCTTTTCTTCTCTCACAAGTTGAAGGTAAACATCTGCAACTTGGAGCCTTTTCTCTTTGGATAGGCTTTCTGATTTAGATTTAGATTTCCCAGGATTTTTTTCTAAATCATTCCAGTAGATTCTGTAAGTACATATAGTTCTCTGCTATAGAAAGAGACCTCCAGCTCATGGTGAGAGGCAATAGTTATAAAGAGGAGTGTAGTGACTACACTGGCCCACTTTATTTCTCATTCTGTAAGTAATTTGCACTCACAAAATAGGATGAGAGTCTCAAAAATAACAAGGCGTTATTGTTATAAACAGCACTGCAATTGTTGGGAATTGTTGGGAAGAGATAATGTGAGTGTGTATATATAAAGTGTATGCATGTGTGTGTGTAATAGCAGGGTATAAGACGCAGGCAGGAACAACATACATTGGACAGCACAATCAGGTAGTTGGTATTGTGTGCATGAACATCTGCACAGTGTATGGGCTAGACCAGGAGTAGGCAACCTTGGCTCTTTTATGACTCGTGGACTTCAACTCCCAGAATTCCTGAATGAGGCCAAAGCGGCTTCTCACGTTCCATGACTGCACTTCCCTAGAGTTTATACAGATGTCACTTTATGCACACCGGGGTCAGGAAGCGCAATCTGCTGTAGAAAGAGGAGCTTTGCTCTCCTTTACAGTAGTGAAACTGCAGCAGCATCTTAAACTTCAGCTTCTTTGCTCTTGAAGACTATTGATTCCCAAGCCTCTAAGCATGCATGAACTTGCTCTTCAGCTGGTTCTTCCTTTAAGTCGGCTGCATCACCCCTTCTTCTCTAATGGATCTATTGCCTTGGAGGCAGTTGATGAAGCAACTGCAGTTTGCTAATGCTTTTGCAAGAGCTGCAGGGTCACTTTGTGCTGTTTATTAAACACTAAGATTTGAATTTAGATCAAACGGGTAGCCTTCCCAGCTAAATGACAATCGCAGCCTTACAAGGCAACATGGGCGAGTCCAGGTGGGGCCCTAGCAATTCAACAGTTTCTACCAAACTGATCCTCCGTTTCCATCTTAATCCTGTGTCATGGTTGTATCAAATCTCTTTCATTCCCAGAATACATACATTGCTTTGACGACAGTTTCAGTCCCATTGTCCCTCGGTCTGAGAAAGCTAGCTTAGGAAGCCTGGGAAAAGCCACTAGCAGACTCCGTGTATTCTTTAGCAGAGAAACAGAAGCAGCCAGAGGGTGGAGGAATCACGCCACTAATTTCTAGCACATAGCGTCTTGGGTAAAGTAACACCTTTACGGGGACTAATCAAGAAGCTACAGAATAGAGAGTAAACTTTGTAAAGTTCTTCTTCGCCTACGAATTATATTAAACAGAAGCACTATGGACAAGGTGCTGGGGGAGTGAGGAGAAAAAAAACTCCAGTGTGAGCCATTTTATGTGGAAAATGTAGAATTAAATTTGTTTTGCATCAGATTCATGAGATAGGCTTTTGGTAGGAAGAATCCTGTGTTATATTAGTTAATGGGCCTCTTATGTTTAGACTCTAATGCTGAATCCATTTATTACATCTTTATTTATTACTTCTGTAGCAAAAGAAATTGTGTAAAATACTTCTGAGATTGAGTAAGGATGTTTTGACTATTTTCAGTTCTATTTAGGACAGCATTTATTTTTAACTATTTAAATTGTATATTTCAATATTATACTATAAACCACTCAAGGTCTATTGGAACGGGCGGTCATAATATAAATAAATAAATAAATAAATAAATAAATAAATAAATAAAGCACACTACTAAAAGTTAGAAAATAGGGCAAATCAAGAACTTCGTCCAGTAAGAGCATAGCTTCAAACACAAAACAGTGATCTGTTGGGTTTCCAAAGCGTCGTTCATTGTCTTGATACAACATTCCCCATCCAGTAGTAAAGATATGTATCAGAACTGCTCACAGCTATAGCTTCTTGGGTTAAACACTGCTTGATCAACAAGGAATCTATTTTGCTCCACAAGTCATAGAGTACTTTCATCAGAGAAGTCCCTTGCAATCAGTAAATATCAGAATTATATCCACAGTAGAAATCGTGAACATGAAACATTGTTGGCATAATTCAAATTATGCTTCTTAAGGAAGTAAACATTTGCTTTTCACGTTCAACTTCAGGTTACTTGACTTCTGTGTGAGAAACAGGAGCTGTTATTGCTTTGAAATTTGCTTCAGGTAGTCAAACAGTTTATGCCCGTCCTGAATTAGATAGATTAGTGAAAGATAAATCTGTAAATGGTCACAAGTTCTAATGGCCATACATTATCTCTAAGTTAAGCTGTAAGCAGGGCATGCTGGAAAACAATTGTAAAAAGGGGGCACTGTTTTTATCCAGAAATTATAGGAAATATAATTACAGCCTTGTGTCCTCTTGTTAGGTCAAATTTGGGAAATCTGTTACCCTAAATGTACTTTGGTATGATCCTTCTGGCTCTGCTTACATATTCATGAACAGCCAAAGATATAGTCAGAATAAAAATATAACCTCAGTAAAAAAATAACCTATAATATATCTGTGTCTTGTTATGAATGGCTAGCATGTCAAACTCAGAAAGTATAATTCTCTGCAGAAGTTAGCTCTTGTGTCTGTAGTATCAGACCTGGACTGGAAGGAAGATGCCCTTGTTAGTGCTTCTGTTCCATTTACTTTTGACTTAGAAACACATGTGGACACACGCATATGTATTCATGCTGCCACCACAGTATAAATTCTCCACAGCATGTAGCAGCAAAGATTTCCTGTTGCAGGTTAAGAGACATGAAACTTATTCAATTCTTCTTTCTTAGGGCTGTGAAATTCAGTTTTCCTTTGGTTCTCAGGCCACAGCATTCAAAGTTTGCAGAAAGTCTTCCTTTTAAAAATTTATGTTTGTCCTCTTTTCTCATAGCCAGTCAAAAAAACAGCAGTTTGAAATCTAGCAGAAAAATATTGCTGTGGAAACAACTGGACACACATGGATGTGTGGGCTCAACTGAGTTTTAGAACAGTAACGAAATATGCTGTACGTAAGGATGTAAGTTTAGATTCTAACATAGAGAAGAGTTATCAAAAGGGAGGAACTAATCATCAACAAATAGGCTTTGGAACAATAAGAAACAGTGAGCATCGAGAGTTTAATCACATTATTTTCTCCACCAACACAGTCCTATGGATCTGCAGGGATTTCCTGAACTGCTTGAAATGGACTGTGGAAAACTACAAGAAACTTTTCTTCAGAACTCATGTTTTAAGTCATAGGATTTAAAATAGGATGAAATTAAACATCTTGTAATATTGAATGGATCCTTGGATTTGGATGGCTTTGAACTGACATTTATTCCACCCACATTTTCAGGGAGCTGGGAAGCTCTCGTTTGCTATGTTGGTAGTAGCAAGCAGGCATCTCCAAGGAGTTGTTGTCCTTGCTTCAAACAAAGCCTAGTTGAAACTGTTTTTATTCATGCTTTAAGCAAAACATTATTAAGTCAGTTTATAGATAATTAAAATAGAATAAAATGCACTAATAATAATACATCATCACCATCTGTCAATTGCAAAAGGCAACCTTACTCAGAACAGTTTGCATTCTGCAACAATATCTTTAACACCATCTGGAATCGGTGTCTGCCTGCCCCAGGTCTTTGGAAGGGACTGGATAGGTGGATAAAAATGCCAAGCCCAGTCTGAACATCTGTCTGTGCAATGAACAATAATTTGTTAAATTTTTATGCCACCCAATTCCCAATGACTGTAAACACTACATAGATATGATGTATTGTAAAAATCCCTAGATACATATGCAGTATACGGATGTCCTTGGAAAATAACTGGACAAGAATGCTGAGAATTCTTTTTCATAGATCTCATTCATTTGTCACGGGGAAAATATATCTGGTCGTTTGGAGTCAATAGTGACTTGGTGGCACATAATATCTCATTCATACACCCATACATCCTCTCACATCCTAAAAGCAGAGTGAATGACAACTAAAGTTAAAGGCCAGCATCTAAATAATCTAGTGGAAATTTGTTTGCTTTCCTCTTCATAATTCTGTTGGGCCTGATGTAATCAAGGCATATAGGCCAAAATGTGAACATTTTATAGTGTCAGACCAGAAAGACTGGCATGCACAGTCAAGATATGTATGTTAAAACATACTACACACCTATCTAGGTGAAAATGCAATTAATGGCTAGAAATCAATACTACTTTTCAAACAGACACCGTGATTTGAAACTTCAACATTTAGAATGCATTGGAGAACAAGATTCTGATTTTAGAGATAAAAAGTTGTGGTTAGAAGAAGCCAAAATGTTATCTCAGCTATATCTTCACATAGTGGGTTTGCCTCCTTTCCAATGTAACCAAGCTCCATACATGGAAAATTTTACCAGCAAACAAACAGCACATGGGAAAGATTCACCTAATTTCCCATTGAGTAACTGCATCACGGGCCATCTCACTTCTAAGAGTAAAAGGTTTTTAGATCTTTCTCTTTCCTTTCCAGGTTCCTGGAACATAAACAACTTTGTGGATCGGTTTCAGCTTGGAACACCTGTGGCTTCAACCCAGTTTATCACTAAGGATTACCATGACTAGCAATAGAAGCACCGGGAGTAAAAGCACCATTGCTCTCAATGATTTAGCTTGCTTTCTTCCCTATGGAGCAGACGAGCGCTCCAAATCTTTCTCTTCATTCAGCAAGCATGGGTTGTATTTTTGCATGACCAACTGGCTTTATAGAGCTGGCTATGATATTTATTTTAGGATTCATTATACTTTTTGACTGGCATTAACACAATAGCATAGTCATCCCCAGCATTCTACCATACATATCACAGAAAATGTAGTGCATTCCCTGCAGAGCTTGTATGGCCTTAAAATTAAATATGTATTCTAAATTTCTCTCATATTGGCTCGGAAGCAAAGTGACAATATAGCCACCAATCTATATTCTCCCCAAGGACTTTTTAACTATTGAAAGATCCGTAGCCTACTCATGACCAACAACTACAACCAGCCTTTTGTTTTAGATATTTAATTGACATCAAATAGTCTTTTGTGGCCCTTCCATTCATGATTTCCCTTCCCAGGCTACATATTCTTTGCAAGTACGCATCCATGTTTCACCCTTGAACTAATATCTGCCATTTATTGCAGCATTCAATTAAAAATAGCACTTCACTCTTCCTTTCTCAAGTTTTTTTATTGCACCGTTGGGATATGGAATCTCACTGAAATTGGACATAAGCTTCATAAAATATTACAAAATATTGTAATATTTTTTTTCTGGTATCAGTATTTTTTCTTTGAGGGAATACTGTCCCTGTATATGATGCTACAAACCCTCCAGGATAGCATGCAACACAAATGGACAAATCAGCAACAGGCAACTGCAAAGTTGGAAATGTGCCGATTAGAAATAACTGTAAAATAGAACATAGAACAGTCGAATTATAAGAGACCTTGGAGGTCTTCTAATTCAGCCTCTTGCTCAAGCAGGAGACCCTATATCATTCCAGATAAATGGCTGCCCAATCTCTTCTTAAAGACCTCCAGTAGTGGAGCACCCACAACCTCTGGAGATAAGCCTTTCCACTGATCAATTGTTCTCACTGTCAGGAAATTTCTCCTAAATTCTAGGCTGGATTTCTCTTTAACAAGCTTTCATCCATTACTTTTTGTCTTGGCCTCAGGTGCTTTGGAGAACAGGTTGACCCCTTCTTCTCTGTGACACCTCTCAAGGACTGGAAGACTGCTATCATGTCTCCCCTAAGCCTCTTCGTTAGACAGCCTAGTTCCCTCAAACATTTAATACTCTCGTTTACTATGCTACAGTGCTTAGTTGAAATAAGTTATTCTATATAATTTCCAACTTGAAATAATCAAGTTACTGTGTTTTGATTGCAGAAGCCCCCAAAATTAACTTTATTTATCAGATTGATATGCTTCCTAGTCAATGATATTATCATCTTTGAGGACACGTTTTGGCAAAATGCTTTGTGCCTGCGTTCACGCCACTAATAAATCTTTATTGATTAGCCCTTGGGCCATATCAAAGTGCAAAGTTCCAGCAACAAATCATTACCAAAGTCTGATAAAAGCAATTTAAAATAAAATTTGATAAAATACAGTTTAAAATGGAATTAGAGTAAAATATGACTTAAGATGAAATTGGAGTAAAATACAGTCTAAAATAAAATTAAAATAAGAATACAGTAATTTAAAATATAGATAAAATATGATAAAATTATATCTTGGAGTCACCCTTGCAATCTACCCCAATCAGTCCCACATATGCGGATCTCAACCGAACCATTTTGTTTAAATACTGTGCTGTGTTAAATGTTATTTTCAAGTTCTGGCCACACATAAGGTAAGTTGTTTTGATATGGGGATCCCAATGAGTCATTCGCTTGGTATATAGACCGAGGTACCGGTCTCTCACCTTCTTTTACAGGCAACAATCAAATAGTATGTGAGCCAGGTCTTCTACCTCTGCCACTTCGCAAATGCAGAGATGCTCATTGTAAGGTATAGAATGGAATCTCCCATATCTGACCATTGTGTCAAGCTGTTCGAATCTTGCTCACGTAAATACCTCCCTAAGGTGTTTTGGCAGTTGTAACTTCAAATAACTGTCTACTTGAAAAGTACACTTGTATTTACTCAGCCATTTCAAGTTACCCACCTTACTAAGGATCGCTGTATCATTGTTCACACCACTAGATACTTCATCATCACTCCTGTTGTCCCACCTCCTCAGCTTTTTTACTTTCTTCCCTGTCACACACACACACACGCATGGGTATTCTTTTTTATTTTATTTGTTTTCATTTTTACTCTCCCAACCTAGTATTGGACAATGAAATTAGCACTTTGCTTTCCTTTAAAAGGAATTGTGCATCTGCAAAGCAGCAGTTCCTTTTCCCAGAATGTTACTAAGAGAAGAAGGAAGGCTAAACATGATTTTTGCCTTTTTATGTAAGTGTAAGAAAGTGTCAGAAAGCAGCTACTGAATGTGTGGACCCAATTGCATGATTCCTTCTCAAATAACACATTTATATTCAAATACATCCTAGAATGTTTCTACTTGGGAGAAGTAATTTCCAGTCTAGAACGGTCTTGCTTCAGTCAATGAGAATATCTGATGCCAATCATTCTTAAGTTTCAGTGAAATCTGGCTTATCACCCAAATTTTAAGGTGCGTTATGAGAAAAAGGAACAAAGCTGTCAACCAGTTTCATATATTCATGATCCATTCTATTCATAAATCACATGAGTGTCTATCATGGTTCCATTTCCAGTGTGATGTAAGCTTCATAAGAGCCAATTATATTCTTCTCCGTGAGGCAGAAGAAAAAAGTTTGAAACAGAGAGGAAGCTTGTGTTAGGGGTGTAACTTACCACAAGTAAAGAGGAAGAAGGTCCAAAACACATAACTCTACTTTAACTGTGTGAGTTAAAATTAGAAGCAAGAGGAAATGACAATTTAGCATGTCATGGGAGTCAGCTAAAGTGGGTTCTCTCCTTTTTTTTTTATATTTATCATTTGCCCAGGGTGTAATTGGTGTTTCAGATTAAGGCCAAGGAACCAGTAGAAATGAAAGGTCACACTTTGTTGACATCCCAACATCAGATTGTAGTCATCCTTTCCTCTCTGTCTTTAATTCCTTGTGGTAAACATGTTTACTTTCAGGAGAAAAGGAGCAGAGAGTCGGATGTTTACCTCTCTAGGAAATTGTCGCCATAGTTTTCTCCCTCCTTTTTTTTTCTTTTAATTGAAATATAAGAGGAGAAAATGGCACGGAAACCACACTGGTGTTTATCTTATAGCTAGGTCTGAACTATCAGTTGAGTTCAAACCGAAAGTCTATTTGGGTGGCAGGGTTTTATGTAGAAATACTAGAATTCTCAAATTATATTGAGTATTGACTCACATTTTGGTATGGCCTCACCCAGAAAGACCAGAAGTGGAGACGGGAGAGGGCAGTGTTGTGGTATCTGAAGTCCACCAGAAGGCACCAAGCTATTAAAGTATTCCTTCAGAAAATGTAGAGAAGAACTAAATGTCCATGCCAAGTTCAGATTTGGCAAGTGTTATTAACCTTCAAAGAACAAATCTTAGGTTTTCATCACATACCATGTTTGCAAAAGACAGTATCAGACTCTTTCGTTAATGTATAAATTCCGTTTGTGGCTTATTTGTAATTTTTGGGTTGCAACTTTATGGTTCCTTGCGTGGGAAAAATCTCATTTCTTTCAATTAGACTTACTCTTAGGTAAACCTCTGATGTGTTGTCATCAGCAAGTCTTCATTTTCTCTTTTTCTGGGATTTTTATCTATATTGGCTGTGTTTGTAATCCTATGATACTCCCTAGAATTGCCATTTGCACATGGGACAAGCATAAGAATCCCTTCAATATTCTCCATAAATAAATTAGGTTTTATGCATTTATCTTACCATGTTTGCAAGCCATCCCAATCTGCAGATATTAAGTGGGGATGTGCAAATTAATAACTACTCCAATATGGTTGCTGCTAAACAATCAACATGGATTAAAAGCTCAGATGAACAGGATTGTTCTGATAAAATATCAGGAGGTGCTGAGGGGAGTCTGCATCTACCTCTGGGGTCAATAGACAGAAAGAGTATGGGGCCTCACCAGAAAAACTTGCTACCCCTAACCTCATCTGAAGGATTCTTAGAAGGCCTTCTCATGATATTACTAGATAGACATATACACTCCTGCTGCCTGATGTAGCCCATACTACTATATTGTATAGATGTCAGGTGCAAAAGACCAGGATCACACCTGATGTTCCAATTAGAGTGATTTATTACTACCCATGCTTATGCACAGGAATATTCTCAACTTGGAACTAGATACGGGTCAATGGTATTCAAGAAGTTGGACTTAGTCCATTTGTAGCTATGTAGGGATTCTAGATTGATTCCTCTTTTGACTCTGCCACTCCTTCTCCTACAATGGAGCTTCATGGTGTAGTGAATTTAATAATGGTGTTGGCTTCCAATGCAGCCTAGCTAGCATAGTCTGGACCTTCTGTATCTCCAAGTTCATATCCAAAGCCTGCCCCTTAAGTAGTAGATGTTTCGGTCATACAGTACATCAAATTTTCCACTCGTTTATCCTTATATTATGCATGATTTGTTCTACTTTATTTATCCCATTAGAACTAAAATGTTCTGAATTAAAATTTAAACCATCATGAAGTTTTCAGGCCTGAGTATGTTTACTAGTAAAGCCTGTGTAGAAGAGGGAGTTTTTGTGTAATAGCATATCACATGACTTATTGAGTTAAAACTGAGAGATCTGTAGTCACATCCTATTTTGATTTTGAATACATTATGCCATTGTAGCAAGGCAAGGACAGGATTGAGAAATTGTGGTTAAAAGTAAAGCCAATCCTGTCCTATAAAATCAAGGAAGGGAGGGTTGACATTGCTTACAACTGCAACCATCTGTTGAAAATCCTTTGGTCACTCAGCACTGTGCTCATCTCATTTCAGCCCATGAGTGAAACATCATAAGGTATCTTTAGATGCATCAGTTTTAATAACGAGGAAATAATATTTCTCCCTGAAGACAATGCTATCTCACTGCACGCTTTAAGAAATACATCTGTAATGTTGTCTTGGTCATTATTTTGGAGATTTTGTGTGAGATCAGAGCATTTGGGAATGTAAGTTCTCCCTTCCTATGACTGGACAAGCCACCTCTATGATAACCATTACTATAGCACCTGCTCTCTCAATTGCTACTACGTTTCCTGAGCTCCTTTCATACCTTACATGTCCTGCCCCATTAGCTTTGATACCTTCTAATTTGACCACTTCTGCCCAGGCTTTCAATGCATTGGAGGGCAGTGCACTTTTGCTGAGGGTGGAGAGATGTACACAGGGGTTGAATGCAGAAGCTGACAAACCAGAGAAATCCCAGTAGAGTCCCAAATTACAACCACAATTGATACCAGAATTACCTCTGCTAAGCTACGCAATTGTTAAGTGAGTCACACCAGATGTTACGACCTTTTTTCTGAATGCTGTTGAGGAAATCACTAAAATTCTTAAGCAAATCTTGCTTGTTAGAAGCTGGCTGGTCGCAAACAGCGACCACACATGCGCTGGGATCCTGCAACCATTGTAAATACATGCTGGTTGCCAAGT